AACCGCTGAGGCTCATCTATCTGCACGCCGCCGCGCTGCACCCGATCTGCGCCTCTCCCGCAAGGAGCGCGCACGCATCGCCGCGACCGGGCCCGGACCAGTACCAGGCACTGCTCAAGGCAGACTTGCAGCAGCGCACGCACTTGCACCCATTGCCGGTGGTGGCCGTGGGCGTGGTGGACGCGCCATCAACAACAACGCGCGCGACAGGGGACGCGACTGGGGCCCTGCTCTGGGGCCCTGCACCAGTTCAGCGCCAGCGTTCTCGCTCCCCGACGCGCCGCTTCTGCAACAACTCGAGGTCGCCGCCCAAGCCACGTGATCGGACGCCGCCACGCCGCTCACCGGCCAGGGTCAGCGACGTTGCCGTCATCGAGGTTGGCAACGGCATCCGCATCACCATTCCTCAGTCCCGTCGCTAGGGGTGAGGAAAGACATTGTGGTTGCTTTCGTGGGTCGTGTGACCGTCCCGGCTGTTTCTGCTTGAGCGTGTCACTTTTACGCCTACTTGCAATTACACCGCGGGACTCACCTGACTACCGAAACCTGCGTTCTCAAAGCAAAACGCTGCGAGACCAGGGGGTGATATGCCGCGGGAGGGATTGTGGAGGCAAGTGGACCAGTGCCACTTGCCGGCCGGGCGCTTTCTGCCCGGTTTGTCGAACAACGAACTTCGGTTTGCTCTGGTGAACAGCTTGCTTCGGCTTGCTAGGCACTGACACTTGGAGTTGACTCGGAACGGTCGACCTGACCACGTTGTGGCAGCTTCTCAGCTGCACACTAAGCCCGAAGTTTATCAGCACATAAACTCTGTTTGGTGGCGAAAACTGGCCTCGTGTAGTGGTAGACGATTTTGATGTCAATCTCATGAGTGGTCCACAGTTTGGGGGTACGACTTGCGCTCCAGGCGCATTCCGCCTAGGCAAGAGGAGGTTAGTCTTCTTGACGAATCGGGCAGTGAGGATCGAACCGAAGTTGATCAAAGCAGCCACGGTTTTAGGGAAGAGTCGCTTGGTCTGTTCTTTGAGGGACTTGACGACATGGACAGTACGTTCCGTCCCGGGGGGGTGGTCTTTACTGGTGATCCTGCAGGTCCGAGTTTGCAAAGTCTTCGTCAGGCCAGGAGCGCCAAGGAGGTAGAATTGAAACTCAAGCCACAGTCAGACGAGCTGTTGAATGACAATGATCGGTTCCACCTTGCAGTTGGACTGCTAGGAGGAGGGGCACGAGAACGGGCGTTCCATTTGGAGAGTACAATGGAGGTGGAGCTGTCAGCTGCAAATGCGCTAGCGCGGGCCCAGTTTGCAACGCGCACTAGGGCCTGGCCGCCTTGAATGTGAGTTGTGGGATGGAAAAACTGAGGCTGAGCGTGGTAACACAGTGCGGCCTGTACGGCCAGTGGCACCTACTTTTGAGAAGCTGTACTTTCAGCCGATGGAAACGTTTTGGGCGATGCTTGAGGAGTTGTACCTGAACGTTCAAGGGTTAAGATCAGCGAGTACAATCTGTTTACGCAGAACAAGGGAGAGTCGCTGGCGAACATGTTTCAGAGAATGAAGATCCTCATGGTCACTCTCAACCAACCCGAGCAGAAAAGCGTGTTCAAGCTGCTAGACTGTCTTAAGGCCAAGCACATGGCCAGCGAAGTCGAGAGTCACTTCAACCACATGCATTTGGATCCGAACCTGTGGACGGTTGACCAAGTGTCCAACATAGCGCTCCAGATTGAACGCGGACGCAGTGAAAAGGAACTCCGGACAGGCAAATCGAGTCACTTTGACACTGTGAGCAACAAGTGTGGCAGCAATAGTTCTGGTGGTGGGTCTGCAAAGACTGGCAAAGCATGTCATAATTGCGGCGACCCTAACCACTTGCAGAACGCGTGTCCCCATCCACCACGAGGAAAGCCCAAGCCCGCCAAGCCAGTCACCTCTGTTGCACGTTTTGCCAATCCGAGGGCTAACAACAAGCCTGACGCGGATAAGACGTGTTACAAATGTGGCGAGACAGGCCACATTTCAAGGGACTGCACGAAGCGGCAATCTGGCGGCGAGATGTCAAAGAGGAAGAAGGGGAAGCCGTGGTGCTCGCACCACAACATTAACACTCACTCGACTGAGCAATGCTGGGTACTGCATCCAGGACTGTCGCCAAACTTTGCTATGGAGAAGCCGCAAGTCAAGCATGCGCGGTCGGCAAAGAAAGCTACGGAGGCTATTTTTGCAAGCATGTCCGCAGCAGACAAGCATGCAGCTTATGAGGATTGGCAGGCAAAACAATCTGGGTGGGACGGTCCTGCTGACGCCTACACGGGTGATGTCATTGAGCTAAACGAAACCCTTGTTCCTGCTCTTGCTGCAGGTACGGAGAAGAAACGGCGGTCGTCTGAGACGCAAAAGTTCAAGGACGTCCAAGGCAACATGCCGTTGAGCTTCCTGCCCTACGACGCCACTTCCACTGCGCGTCTCTGAGGAGGAAAGGACCTGGAGTACGATCCGTTTCAAGTTTCAGCTAATCAAGGTGAGAGCAAGACCGCGGGGCTGCCAAAGGCGCTTGAAGAGGCGCCTGGCGCAGGTGGAGATAGCGAGTTGCCTCAATCGTTTGAGGAGCTTGCCGAAACGGACTCCATGTACCAGGGAAAGCCCGATTATGAGCTTCCGACGTCGCAAGTGGTGCAAAGTCCGGTTCTTGAGGATGGGATTTCGGGTGAAAACTTTGTGACGGACCTGTTTGGTGTTCAAAAACCATTGTACGGGTACCGAAATGATGCCAGCAGGGACGGTTTGACCAGCGACATGTCGGACAGTGAGGTCCAATCAGACCAATCAGGTCTAGGTACCCTTGGTAAAGTGCCTGACACGTCACTAACCGATCCTTCAGCTCATGCAGAGTTGGAGGGAGGCGTGGCGGCGGACATGGAACTGCGGGGACGTCAATGCCTGGAACGGTGGATCCGTTTGCAGAAGCCGCCGATCGTGATTGAGGGAGGTGAGTTGTTAGGGGAATACAGGGATATTGCCCCTGAGGCTTGGCCAGCAACAGTGCGCGCCAACTACCACATATTTGAGGTGCAGGCGTTGCTTGGAGGCCCAGTAACTGATGATGTCCGAAATGCTGTGCGAGCGCTTGGGGATGACTCAGAACAGGGTTTTCTGGCTGGGGTTGTTTGGGGAATGTTCTCCGGGGGCCCAAGACCAGGTATGGACGGTGTGGCTTTCAGAACTAGGCGGCTCCTAGGCCGTGAAAGTTACCCCACTCATAGGAAGTTGGAACCAAGTTGCACTGACAGTGTCCAGGACAAACAGGCGCGCGCAATTCGCAGCGCACTGCTTGATCCCAGCATTGAGACAGGGAGTTTGCTTTTGAGAACGGGTGACCTGCTGACGCCTGGCCAGTCCAAAGCGCTGGGGTTACGTCTGCTGTTCCTGTTTAAAGAGCTCAGTGAACTTTCACTCTTGCCCCTAAATCTAGCGCCAGCTGAGGTTGTCGGAACTGCTGAGCACACAACACTCGAGGTTGAGCACGGGTTGGCTTTGATGCAGTATGTGTTGGAGCTTGCCCACGGTCTGATTGACGGGACAAAGACACTAAGCGGCCCAACCGGTATGGCGTGCATGCTGCTTGCTGAATTCTGGTGGTGGTTGCAGTGGCGGTCTGAGTACCTTGTCAGGGGGAACGTAAACGGAATTGGCACTGAGTTGCGATATCTGGGTCACGCATTGGTCAATCTCCAGGTGATTTTGGACCAGGCCGACAAGTGGTCGCAGTCATGTACGTGGAAACACTTGGCCCGCGCCATGCGCATCTGTGAGATGGCCGGATTCTTGACCATGCGCGATATCTTTGTGCGCCATGCAGATGTCGCACTGGCCAGCGCACGGCGCTTGGTAGCAGAACGGGGAGAAGAGGGTAGTGGAACCAGCACGGGGCTGAGACGACTTGGCGAAGTCAAGTCTGGCCAATCTGGCGCAAGCGTTCAAGCACGGACGTGTTTTTATTTGAGCGGGCGGACTGCTTGCAGCCGCCATTCCAAGGACCGTCGCATCGCCCCAGCCACCACGCGTGCATGGGCCAGCAGCAGCGACAGTACCGGCCCCAGCACTGACTCCAATGACGCCACCTGGGTTCACAACACCCAAGGCGGCCCCATTACGGAGCCCTGCTCTCACGACTGGAGGGAACCAGCACGTGCAGCCGGAGTTACCAGGTTCGTCAGCATCAGGTGAGACTCGGACCCCGGCCGTTGAGACACCGCCAGATCGGTCTAAAGGTGTGAGGAACCGTCAGCAGCGTGCCGAGGCAGGAGCGGAGGCACGAGGGAGTCCAGTTGTGGTCCAAAAGGCAATGGTTTCTGAACTACGGGGTAGCAAGGCACCAGACACCCAACGCAGTCAGGTCGGACAGGAAGTTGTGCTGAATGGCATCCCTGACAGATGGGATGAACAAAAAGAAACTCCTGGTCTGTACTTTTGTAGCTCACGGCTTTGGCAGGCTACACCTGCTTGGGGCGGATACACTGTGGACAGGGTAGGTAGCACTGTTGCGAACGCGACCACTTGGCGCAAATTGCCGGCTGGGATTCACTGGTATCGTCGCGTCATACACACACCGGAGTCAGGAAACTTCGTGGAAGGCGCATTCTACTTTTGAGATGGTAGCTCATCAGAATATGTTTGCAACATGTTCTGGGATAAAAACGTGGAGGCTCGGGAGCGACACCGCCAGGGTCTCATCTGCTGATTACAACTATGACATGGACGTTGATGCACTGTTGGAACTTGGTGTTCGGACCGAGGTTGAGAAAGGGTTGTTTTCTTCCGCGTCTAGGTCAAGCACGCTGCGTATTGACCCTGCACGACTGGGCCGTATCGCACGGCAGATGCACGAAGACGGGTCTGCCACTGCTGTCTTGCGCCACCTTGCAAAATCTGACGTGATGTTTGCGTGTGCGGATCCTGCTGGCGGTGCCAACATGTGGATGGACCGGAAGTATTACTTTGCTCACCTTGTGCCGGCATCCCTGCTGGAAGGGAGCCTCTGTATCTGAAGCTGTATCTGAAGCTCGAACGCTTACAGCAGACATGCCGTTAGGTGAACCTCGTCGTTTTTGGCGAGATGGTCACGAGGCAGCCTCAAACCCAGCGCCTCGCGCCAGGTATACCTACCCACCTCGTCTGTTAGCTTTGCTTGCGCTGGGCTACCTGATGGAAGTGCATAAGGGTATTTGTGAGCGTCAAAACGTCCCAACGAACGCTTTGTGCACCCGTTGCGGGGCCAGTTGGCTCGTGAATGTGCTCAGAGACAGTCAGAGGATGAGCTGCTCCAAGAGTTGTTGAACGATGGCGTGTTGTTCGACTGCAAAGGGGACAGCAAGTTCGACATGTTCTGGGACAACGTGGTAGAATCCTTTGAGAGTGAGCGGTGGGCGTCAGCCCCGCAAAATGCGCTCCAAGTTGCAGGAGTGCCCACTGTGGTGGAACTATGTGATGTCTCCTCTTCGGGTATGAGTGCGCTGTTGGGATCGTTGCCTGCTAGTTTTACCGCAGACAAGGACTTGGAAGTCCACAAAGCCCCAAGGCTGGACAACTGTCACCCCCGCCGGCTTGCTTGTACAATAAACGGCGAGGTGCTTCAGCACCTGGTGGTTGATACGGGGTGTGAAATGATCGTCATGGGCAGGGGAGCGGCTAGGCAAGCAGGAATCAAGCCCAGCATGATGCAAAAAGGCGCCGTTGCGCTGCGGTGTGCAGATGAACGGGTTACTGCGCCGTTTGACCGATCCTTAGAGCGAATTCCGGTTGTGCTTAACCCAGGCACGGCGGATGAAACCACTATTGGTGCATGTGTGGTTGTCACACCAGGAGACAATGATATTGTGCAGCTCGGAATGAGTGCGATTGGGAAGGTCGGACTGACTGCGAATGCCTACAAAGGCAAGATGAAATACTACAAGGACTGGAAGATCGACAAGGGGAACAACTTTTGTGCGGATACCTGCTGTGTTTGAGGTGCTTCACCGTGGCGCACCCATGTCGTCCAAGATCGCAAAGGAAGCCGTGCTGATGGACGCGCGGGTGGCAAGCGTCATGCCACAAATAGCCACTCCAGTGTCAAAGCCTGATATGCAGCATGCAAACTTTCAATACTACACATACAGGAAGCGGCTTCTAGAGGAACTCGATCTGTCCTTTGATGAGTCCGTGATGGCTCTGAGGCAAAAAGAGGCACCCCCACCTCCTATAACGCTTTCAGGGTACGCCAACCATCGGCCGCTCTTCCAAGACATTATGGGCGTGTGTACTGAGTCTGCGGAGTCTGGTCTGGTTGTTGTTGAGTTGTGCGCAGGTATTATGGCATCTACGGAGGCGCTGATTCGCATGAGAATCAAAATCAAGCAACTTCACTGCTGCGAGAACGACCAGACAGCTCGGGCGGTTGCGATAGCTAGGTTAAAGATGTTGAGCGGAATTTTCCCCGACCTCTTGGCCGAGTCTGCGTTCGAGAATCGCTTTGGGTTGCTGCCACACGACGTCAAGCTGACCAATCAGAGTCACATCATTGCGCTGGGACCTCTTGACTTGGTAGTTTGTGGGTTTCCCTGCCAGGGATTCTCGCGGGCGTCGAGGACGGCCAAAGGCCTTCGAGACCCACGCACCGCCGTCTTCGTCGACGTGGTTCGGTTGGTACACAGGATCATTTGCCACCAAGGAAATTGTGCGTGGTTGTTTGAGAATGTTGATGCATCAGATCACCCAGACCTCCAGGTGCGCCACAAGTTCAACGAGGTGGTTAAGGGAGTCCTCGGACAGGGCTGTGCCTTTGATGCTGTGGCAACACTTGGGTTCGTATGCCCACCGGTACCGTAGGATCTGGACCAACCTGATTCCGACCACCTTGCTTCATGCGATGGTGGCTAAACGGTTTGAGGCGCGGTCGCCTACTCAGACAGTGCAGGATGTTCTAGGACCAGGGCGGCTGGCCCTCAAGGCGCAGCCCAGCAGAGCCCCGGGTCCGCATGCTGTCAATGTTGTTGGAGAGCCCTTACGCGCTTTTGCCACCTTCGTCACTTACAGAGGGTCGCACGCCTACGTTGCAGGTCAGCAGAGCCTCGTGCGGTCCAATTGCGGGGGGATGACAAAGCCGACTGAAACAGAGCGCGAGGGGGCGATGGGTTTCATGCGCGGGACGACCGTCAACTCAGCTGCACCCCCGAACCAAGGTGAGCGATTGCGGCTTTTTGGTGCCTCCATGGACATGTTCAAGTTGACCTTTCTGTTTGGCTGTGCTTTGGCCTTTCAGCGGGGTCTGCTCTTTAACTGACCGTTTCGAGGTCGGTATGGTAGCAATCAGGCGCGATTAGGGGGGGATGCTTCCAGGGGGGGATGCTTCCTTTCCTTGAAAGGTGTTCAGTGTGAGTATCGGAGGACCTGACAACAGCCGTCAGGGACCGTCGATCGCGTAACCGACCTTGAACACGGGTGAGGCGCAGCCCTCAAATTGCAGCTGATTTTCCTGGAGAAAATAAGCTGGGGGGGGGGACTGTGTTGCATCCTGAGCGGAATTAGAAACTTTTGAGTGAGAGAGTGACTTCACGGCCTGGTACGGCGAACACAGGGAAAGATCGGACAGCCCCGCCGCGGCCAAGGTAGCCTAAGGACGGCCTCCACCCGACCCAGGTGAAAGTTCTGATTCAACTTCACTTCCAAGCAAGGAGGAAGAACCTGACGTAAACCCTGAACCTGCAGGGCTAAGGAATTTAAGTGGCCAATGAATCCGAATCTCACAATAGTTCAGAAGGAACAGTTGACTGACTTGCTGGATGAGTTTCAAGACGTGTTTGCTTATGATATCACAGAGATTAGAGTCATGGCGGACGAGGTGTTTCGGATTGCACTGACAGACGAGACTCCAACCTTCAAGACTCAGTATAGGTTGTCTCAGTACGAGAAAGAAATCCTGACTGAGCAGATGGAAGAACGAAAGTCTGTTGGGTTTATCAGATAATCGACATCTAAGTGGGCGTTTCCAGTAACAATGCCCCCTAAAAAAGATGGGCACGGAAACTCGGCGGATAAACGGCCGTGTGTGGACTTTCGGGCTCTAAATAAGCTAACTCCCAAGGACCACTACCGTTTGCCGATACCAGAGGATATTTTTGATGAGCTGGCGGACTCCTATATTTTTACCACTTTGGACTTACGTACATGGGATACCATCAAATCCGCATCGCGGAGGAAGACTGTTGTAAAAGGGCTTTCTGGTGTCTTGACGGGTTGCATGAGTGGACAGTTGCAGTGCGCCGTTTGGCTTGAAGAATGCGCCACCCTTCTTTAAGCGTGTTATGGACAAAGTGCTGAGTCGGGAACGTTACTGTGCGCGTTGCTTTATTGACGATGTCATTGTCTTTTTCAAGAGCTTTGACGATCACTTGAAGCATCTGAGAGCTGTACTAACGCGTTTGAGGGACAAAAGCATCAAGTGTCATCCCAAGAAAATGCGCTGTGCAGAACCTGACGTTGAGTATCTTGGCCACGGGGTTGTTCATGGGGGGACTGCCCCGATGGAGGTCAAGGTGGAGGCCATCGTGATGATGCGATCTCCGACAGAGGTTCTTGAGTTGAGGGCCGTGCTCGGCACTTTCAACTACTACAAGAAGTTCGTTGAACATTACAGCACCATCGCTGCACCGCTGAACAATCTTCTGCGGAACGTCGTAGCTTGGGGCTGGTCCGAGGCTTGTCAGCAAGCATTCGAGACGCTAAAGATCAAGTTCACAGAAGTGCCAATTCTGAGACGGCCTGATCACAAACGCCCTTTTGAACTCCATACAGATTGGAGTGGCGTCGGATTGGGCGCGGTGCTCGTTCAGAGGGACGACCAGGGACGGGAGTTTGTCATTGCCTATGCCTCAAGGAGCAACAACAGGACGGAGAGAAACTACTTCAACTACCAGGGTGAGTGCCTTGCTGCAGTCTGGAGGGTGTCCTACTTTCGTTCCTACTTGTACAGGCGACAGTCTAAGCTGCTAACGGACCACGAGCCGTTGAAGTGGCTTATGATGAACGAGAAACTCACAGGGATGCACGCACGATGGGCGCATATCCTGTCCGAGTATGACTTCGAAATTGAGCACAAAGCTGGTTTGAAGTCGGGAGATGCAGACGGGCTTTCGGGAAACCCTCTGCCAAATGAGTCTGATGAAACAGATCATACGCATGGGTCACGTGCTTCCTGAGGTTCCTGTCTCCATTTTTGCGGCGCTTGCTTTGTTGGCAAGATTTTATGCAACAGACGCAGAGCCCGTATTTAGCTAGTTTGGTTCAGAAGTGGGTAGTGGCCAAGATAAGACGGTCCAGAACGTTACACCAGCTGTCCAACCTTCCGAGGGCGTCAGTCTTGCAGGGACTCAGGATTTACAACTGGTTGTTCACCCGTTTTCTGGCACCGAGACAGATGGCGACTTACTAATGGCAGCCCCTGAAAGTAACTCCGCTTCTCGTGACATCAAGCATGACCAAGAGACGCTCCACTATCTTAAGGAAGGCAGCTACAGTCCGGGACTTAGCGCTTTTGAGAAGGATCGTATGCAGCACAGGTCAAAGGGTTATTACTTCTTGAACGAACCGCTAAGGAAACGCACTTCCCCTACAGGTCAAGGAGTGTCCAGTGGACTGGACAAGGTTGTGCCGCCGCCGGAGCAGCGTGCCAACCTGGTGAAGGCGATCCATGTTGACGTCGGGCACTATGGAGTGAGCAAAACTTACTCGTTGTTGTCACCTACGTACTTCTGGGTCAACATGTCTGCAGACGTGCGGGCTGAGGTGGCCAAGTGCACAGTGTGCGACAGGGTTAAAGCCAGTTTTGAGGTCAAGGACCCAACGCTGAAACCGTTGCCCATCATGGGAATGTTCTACAGGTGGGGAGTGGATCTGTGTAAGATGTCATTCGTTTCCAAAGACGGGAATCGATTCGTGGTAATAATGATCGAACACTTTTTGAAGTGGATTGAGTTGGTTCCTATTCCTACAAAAGAGTCCAAGCATACCGCTGCCGCGCTGCGTGGCGTGCTTACTAGGTATGTGGCTCCAGCCGAAATACTGAGTGATCAGGGTGATGAGTTTGCTGGCGAGTTCGCAGAGCTGCTTGTACAACTATTCATTGACCACAAAATTACTTCGCGCGACCTCCCGCAGGCTGACGGTCTGGCGGAACGGATCGTTCAAGTCACTAAAGAGGAGCTTCGAAAGTACTGCCTCCAGTCTGACAGACATCATTGGGGCAGATTTTTGTGCTGGATAGCCATGGGCTACCGCATGAGTCGCCAGGCATCCCTGGCAAGGTACTCACCGTACTTCCTGCTCTTTGGCAGGTGGCCCATCGACGGGGCACGTGTACGGGACGTGTTGCACACTGTGGTGGATATGGACTCCTCGCAGGTGTGGGCAACCGTCGTTGAGGAGCGCGCCCGACTCTTTAGGGAGTAGATGCCGATAGCCTTCAACAACCTCGCGATAGCGCAACACAGAGACATGCTGCGCTATGCGCACAAGAGGTCAAGGGACCCACGCCGAAACTTTGTCGGTTTGCGGCAGGCGACCTGGTGAATTTGAAGCGGCATCAGGCAGATTCCATGGACCCTAGAGTTGGTAGGCTGATTTTGCGTGTAGTCAGTGTCGGCAGTGACGGCATGTTAGTCCTCGAGGGGCGTGACACGAAACAGATTCGGGAGCATGTAGAGAATTGTGCCCCATGTCACAACCCAAACATTGACCTCTGGCAGAATCCCGTGTTAGCGCTGGATGACTTGACCCAAAAATGCCAAGTTTGCAAGGATGCAGTGGCCGATTTGAGGAAGAATCGCATGCTGTTGTGCGATAGGTGCAACGAGGGATGGCACATGAGATGCCTCAGACAGAGAAGCCAAAGGGAGATTGGTTCTGCTCAAGGTGTCTACCTACACCAGACCCTCTTGCCTAGGACCTGTGACGTTGCAATGATTTCTAATCCGTGATGCTTGTCCACTCCGCAACGATTGAGTTAAGCGACCTGCTGGCTTCGTCGGGACGCCTTTGCCGGTATGGGGGGGATGCCGCATGGATTACTAGCTAGCATGTACAGGTACCTATTTTGATCTTTCACTTGTATGCAAAGCTGTTTGCAGGTAGCCTGAGTATATTCGACCTTCAATCCGAGGCGATATCCGACCGAGTGCATACGGCCCGACAGCTGTCATGACGTACAGTCTCGGCGCTGTAGCATGTCGATTCCGAGCTCATGGAATGGTTCGAGGGTACATGTAGACATGACCGCCATGTGTGGCGGTTTGCCCGATTGCTTCTCAGCTGTGACAACCAAAAGGTGGGGGCGACACATTCCGACTACAACAAGAATTGCGGCCTACTACATTACCCCTAGTATCCATTAGCATAATTAGAGTTGTGTAGCTGGGACAAGAATTCACTTTTTAGCCTTATTTCGGTATCATCGAACGGTGGTCCGATCGTGACTCCCACGCATCCACATTAACCGTCGATTTAGCTTCAGTTCGGAATTACCTAAATCCGGGGTTCACGAAATATAGGTAAACCGACCCGAGTTCGATACTCAGTGTTAACCATATAAAGCGGTACTTTATTGCTTAATACAATGCTTGCCTCATAGCTAGTCCGGTCTAGTATGCGGTTAGTTAAGGGTTATTGATATCTATACAACTCACATTGCTTGTACTTACCCGGTTGTATGCTAGCACTCTTAGAACGCCTTTGCTACAAGAGAGCTTTCAACCAAGTCTTAGGTATCTACTTGCAAGTGACCTTGAAGGAGAGAAGGAGAAGAAGGAGCCGCTTCTTTTGGAAGGGCTGCCCATTAAAGTAAAGGTATTGTCTCCGCTGCTTCTCATGCATGTGTTGTCATTGATACATGTGGTTTCTTAGCATGATAGATCATTCTCCGGTGACCTTGTCTTAAACCATTGCGTCCGTGCATGTCTTGAGGGGCCGCCCGGGTAGCCACGAGCCTGGGAGGCTTTCTCCTACGTGATACCGCATGGATTACTAGCTAGCATGTACATGTAACTATTTCGATTTTTCACTTGTATGCAAAGCTGTTTGCAGCTAGTATATTCGACTTTCCAAGGCGATATCCGACCGAGTGCATACGGCCCGACACTACAATAGACGAATACTAATCGGCATAATGTCATTAGCCTACAGTCAGTATCTTAAATATAGTCTATACATTCCTGCATAGACTATATGTAGATAGACTATACTAATCGGCATTTGTTTGCGTGGCCTAATAGGCCCTATGCCATGCCGTGAGGAGCCGGTGCCGTAACACGTTGTGCGCGCGCGACCGCGGTCCGGTAGTGTAAGGCGGGCGGCTGACAGGTGTCATCCACGTGGAGGTTTCGAGGGTTCCGAGGCTCCGGTGGCCTGTCGAGTCCGCACGAGGGAGATCCCCCAACATAGGACGATAGCCAGTGACGAGGCTAAGTCACACGAGTGAGGCCACATGCTAGGGTTGACAGTAGTTGACTCCCGACCGGTAGCCAGACCTCCGGTCGAGTGTAGACCTGGAGCCGGGTAGTTTCGCCTCCGGTCCAGTGGTAGTGCTAGTATAACCACTTGCTTCTAGAGTAGTGTGACTCACTTCTCAAGTTGCGAGTTCTCCTCGAGCTTCCTTGTAAGGACAATGGCGCCCGAGCATGTGAGAAGGACCTGAGCATTCAGCCGTGGTGCATTGGTGTGGAGCTTCGTCTCCGGTGATGTGAGTATGACGGGCTGAGCATGGGTGCCTTCCTCGTGTGCGAGTCATTGGGAGGCCGGAGCAATGTTGAGAAGTCATAGCATGGTGTGGGTTGCACGTGCTATTATGTTGTATCTATCCATGACTATCCCTTGAGCAAGCACCAATCTGTTGAGCCATGACGTGGCATTTACTTGCAACTTGAGGAGTGCTTGCTTGGTGGTCATTAGATCAGGGCATAGGCTTGTCGATTGAGTGGTGGGGGTAGCTGAAAGGAAGCACGCCTGCCTCTGCAGTGACAAGTGTGTTCCCGTTGCGTGGGTCTTGCGCTTTGGGGGCTGCACGCAGCGATTTGTGCTGTGGGGTGACGGATCAAGAACCTGAGGTTCTTTTGCCAATTGCTTCACTCGTTTGTTGGGGTCCTCAGGGCTCCGGCAGCGGGTCAGCAGTCACCGGTGAGCAACCAGGGGAAGGGGCATTGCGTTTGTTCCTTCGTGTTGCTTGATCGGACCTGAGCTCGGGTGTGGCGCGGCTCAGGAAAGTCAGCATCTTGAAGTGCTTCAAGAAGGGGCACCGGAGTTGTTGAGTAATTGCCTAGGGCCCAGGAAAGGGTGCCGGAGGTGGGTTTCTGAGCACCAGTGTGTGTTTGGATAAGGGGGTATAGCTATATCATATAGCCTGTAACCTCCGGTTGCGCTGGTTTCTGCGTATGGAGCCCCAGCAAGACGGTTCTCCATGTCCTACGTATTGGACAAGGAGCCAGGGACCTGCTCCGGCAGCTGCCCCGGCTGAGGATCGTGCTTCGGCAGCCCGGGCCCTGTCAGAGTCTTCTATCCGGAGTAGCAGCGCTACCGGTGAGCTTGAATCTCCGACCTCCATTGAAGCGGCGCTGAACGG